GACAGCAGCGGGTCCCACGAAGGCGTAGAGCAAACCGCCCTCCAGCGAGAGCCAGCAGCTGCAGGGGACCGCGGGTGGCGCGTCAGGGGACACCCCTGTGGCCATCCCCTGCTCCCAGCCGGCCCACAGCAGCCCCCGTGCCCCGCCTCGTGTCCCCTGTCCCCACGTACTAGCTCGCTGTCCCGTAGCCTTTGGTCCGCGTGAAGCCGACGGAGACGGCAACCACGAGGGCTGGCAAGCCTGGAGAGGGGACATGAAGCTGGAGGGGCTGGAGGAAGGTGGCATTGTCCCCACCTGTGCCACCCCATGGGGCTCCTCTGACAGCTCCCCGCGGCCTGAGGGTGCCACCACCGAGACACCTGAGTCTGCTTTCCTCCACTGTGCCTCAGTTTCCCCTCTGGTGAGCCTGGGGGGTACCAGGGATGGGCGAGGGGTGCTCTCCTCCCACCCATGCCGGGCTCTTACCCCATCCCAAGCACAGGAAGCGCTTCCTGACCAGGCGTGTCCGGATCCGGCCGATCACCGCCAGGTAGGATTGCCAGGCCTCGGTCAGCACCCAGCAGAAGGACGAGAGGAAGAAGAAGTGGAGGAATGCGGCAGTCATGGTGCACACGCCCTGCAGGGTGGGGACACGGGGACATCAGGGGGACACGGCCACGGCAGCGCAGCGGTTAAACCCCCACGTCCGGCGAGGTTTGTGTCAAAGCCATCGGCACGGAGGATTTAATCCCGGGATCGAGTTAATCCAAATCCAATCTGCTGCTGGGAGCCAGCAGGGGATGAGGCGAGTGGCCTGGGACCCCACCGAGGGTGGCAGGGTGGCAGCACCCACCTTGCTGAGCATCTGGGACTGGCCCACGAGGATGAGGATGTTGGAAGCCAGGATGGAGACGCAGAAATTGAGCAGGATGATGGAGCGCTCCGACTTGATGAACCTGCGGCAGGAGCGGCGTGGGGCTGGGGGCCAGCCTGTCCCTGCCCCTGTTTCTGTCCCTTGTCCCATGCTGCCACGGGCTGGGCGCTGTCCTGGGGCAGGGACAGTGCCAGGCAGCCCAAGCATCTTTTCCCACCAGGGTTTTCCGTTCCCATTAATCCCATTGATGTTGAGCCTTTCCCAGTGCCTAGTCCCCCTTTGTCACGCCCTCCCCACACGGCCTCACACCCCAGGTGTCCCCCAGGTGCCCCCCAGGTGCCCCCCAGGTCCCCTGTGCCTTCGGGTCACCTCCAGAAGGCCGCGTAGATCACCAGCAGGGTGAGCAGGGCCATGCAGGACACGGCACAGCCGATCATCAGTGGCACCGACGGTGTCCCCGAGGGGTCCATGGCCTGGGGGGACACCAGCGGGGACTGGCTGAGCCCAGCCCCCCCGCACTGCTCCGTGCCAGCCCCCTGCCCCCTCTGAGCCCTCCACCCCCTCATCCTGAGGACCCCTGGGTGCCAGAGGGGGTCGGTGACAGTGGTGGCACAGCCAAAGCAGC